TGGTCATCTGAAGTTAGAACATATATTTCATGAAAACAATTTCTATATCGCAAACCACCTACTCAAAAATGATAAACACATAAATCAAAAAAGWATTGACACTWGTCATTATCCCTAATATTATAGAACCTCCATTCTGACGTAATGTGAATCTCGTTGTGGCATCTTAGCAAAAWTTCATTCATATGTTGAAGGAAAAAGCAGCTGCAAAAGATCTCGGTAATWTTTAATCAGAATTTGCCAAACCATAAATGTACYTGATTTATCAGCAGAGAGATACCTGCTATAAGGGAAGTGATATAGGCATTTATGACTTACACGCAACAATATTTTTGTATCGATTCTTTATCTTGTTGGTAGGTCTCTTTGCCATCTTGCATTCATGCATCGGCTCCACGGGTATGCTCTGTAGTTGTTATTCAGCCAAAACAAAACAAAGAATCAAACTAAGTTTGCAAAGTATTCCTAAAAAATCGGACGTACAGTAACGATTTTCTTGAAAAAACATGGTTTCTATTACATTCAAACGTTTGAAATATATAATATATAAATAAATTAGTGGAGATATGAAGGATTTACTTTTACTAAAGTTGGCAAAGACATACCTTAAATTCTTCCGTGAGCTTACTTTTGTCTGGCGGAATAAATTCTATTGGACTCTGGGCAGTCATCATGATCAAATCAGGAAGGAAGCTTTCAGTTTCTTCATATGTATGATCTTCTACGTTGTTTTCTTTTGGTAAATACAATCAATACGTTACCAAAATAATCGTTTATTGTTTAAATGTCTATCTGATATCGATCTTGCCATGACAGTAGATCGAAATCTCAATCTCCCGAGCTTCATCGCAGTGCCGATTATTACTCAGTTGAGAAAGGAAGACATGAAAGTTTATCAAAAAGATGTCAAAAACGTGTGAAAAAACTAGTGTAGCTGTCTGGCTTCGGTGCGGCGCAAAAAAAATTGAATGAATATGCTGAACTTAGCTTCATATGATTTATAACTAGATTCATTTACCTGCGTCGAAAGAACTTTTTGCAGACACYTCCAGGAAATCAATATAATCATTATTCTCTGGGACTGGCGTATCGTCAATGACAGCCAGTGGTACAGGTACTGGGTCCATAACTATATCTTCGTGTTTATTTTTACGATTGCGATTTCGACTATATATATGGGACAAAAAGTACTTTAGATTTTATCGAACATTTATGTTTAAAATCGTTATTGGATTGCGCATACGTATTTACCGTTTATATAAAGTAGTCACAACAATGAGAATCAGCACTAGGACAATAAACCCTGCAATGAATCCGGCTATCATCGAGCGGTTGAAAGGAGAGGTAGAATTTTCATCTGCATTACGTCTTGATTTAACTGAAAAAATCGAAARCGCCAAAAATAACTCGACATTTTTTTCAGAGAAAAAAAATCATCCATTTTTTAGATTCCAGTAAAAACTTAATATTCACTTACCAAGTGAAGGTATAGTTATGTTATCACCACTTTTGTAAGGGCCTTCTTTGATTGTGGTCGCACTAATCTTGTATGAGAACGTTCCGTTTCCGGTAATATTAAAGACGTATATAAGATCAGTTGTCCCGTTTATAGTAACTATCTCTACATTTGATGTGTTCTTGTTGTAGTAGTATACAATGGTGTACCTCCTGATGTTGCCATTCAAGTCACGTGGTCTATCCCACGTGATAACAACACGTGGTCCAAATGAGCATTGTGCAGGTATCAAAGTACCAGAGACATTTACTGGAGCAGAAGGAGCTTTAGACAAAAGATAAAAGATAAAAGTAAGAACATTTCAATATATGTCATTACTTTAATACTCAAAGTAATCCCCTTCTCCAAAAACATCTTGTCCTGCTGGACATGGAGTCCTAGAGTTAATGTTTAGGAATTTCCAAAAGCATGATAATGTCTTTAAGTGTGGAGACCAACCACGAGGCTCGGATGATAGTGAGCTATTCATTCCGAAGCACAGCCATATACTGAATGGAAATATGGCGATTCATTTGAAAAACTATCGTTCTGAACTGACTTGCCTCTCTTACATGTGAAAACGCTTTTATGTTTCCACGTGAATACGAGTCTAGTCAGTCCAAAACAATAATTAATCAAATTGGTTGCCATATTTTGATAAGATGTACACAGATGTTTAGTTTATTTTACGGTTTGATAGCTTTTAATATCTCACCATCCTCTAACGTTCTCACTCTTCGCTCTGTACTTGGTGAACCAATGTACTTTGTGTTATTGACTGCTATAGTGATGACGTAAGTTGTATACTTGAGTAGTGACGTCAGAGTATAGTYTCCAACATCACCCACGTCAATTATATTAGACTTTCCTTCTTGTGGTGTATAGGTTATCCTGTATCCMTTGAGCGGCCCGTGAATCAACGACTGATTTTGAAGCTATAATTATTATTTTAGTTTTAGAAAAGAAGGAAAAAAGTTAGATARGGGTAACATGGAGCACAAGTTCAAAGGAGCTCGAAATAGTCAACCAGAATATTTTGTTAATAAGAAATGTTTTTTCTTCTCGTTCAAACTAGAAGGTGGGAACAGTTGGTTAGCTCTGCGCATGTTTTATGTTCATGCCACAAAAATTTACTGGTTAAATAAATAACAAATACTTACCTTCCATTTTAGCAAAATTGTTTCAGATGACGTTTCTTTAACATTTAGAGAAGCTATCGATTCGGGTTCTAAGTAAAAAAACCAATTACAAAACTGATGAATTTGATGSTATATTCAGTAATTATATCGAAATTGAAGCGGTTTTTGGCACGATGCAGAACAACAAATTAGTTGCCACAATGTAAGCATGATCACGATTTGCACAGTAAACGCAACTAAACAGTCATATGCATTTTATTGGTTGATTCACACAAAGCACTTGGAAACCATTTCAATATTAAATACTTTAAAATGTCAAGCCACGCTGTATCGTATGTTTTCCGATCGAAAAAAAAAAAACACCACATAAAAAAGAATATAAATTGACAGGAATAAATATCCTTTACAATAACTACCTGTTATTTGACACAAACTATTTATTCCTGACTGTAATAACAAGTTGCTAAAGGAACCTCGCGAGAATACAAATTGAATACAGTATCTAACATTTACATTTTTGAGCAAATATTTGGCTATTTCCAAGGAATCAARGAACTGGAATCTATTTTATATGATTCACTTGAAACGAAATGTTATGAAAATGATACGTGTTAAATATGCACCTGCAATAGCAGTTCTGATTGTTGTGACGTTGCTCCATACTCCATRCCCTACTTGCTTGATGGCCTTTATTGAGACATTGTATTCAGTGTACGGCTTTAAGTTGGTCACATCATAAGTCAGGTCATCGCCAAAGACTCTAAAGGTACTGTTTTCGACTTTCACTAGGTATCCAGTGATATGGTCTGTAGAACTGCAGTTTTTGTAGGTCCATGTTAGTGTTATTGAACGTTCCTTAGGAATACATTCCATACGAGGAGGTTCTGGTGGGGGGAAACATTTTAACGAAAAATGAAAAAAATAATAAAATTAAAATGAAATAATGACAAAGTTTGAAACTTAATCTTAATCACGAAGTTGGTTCTTTTTTCATTGCTTGCTTTGAAAACAAAAAAACTTTCAAATCTTTATTATGTAAAACAATGGCTTTACAAGAACCTTTTTCTACTGCGGTCTTTGAATTGATTATTGTCCAGAGAATGTCGTAAAATGGCCAAAACATGCTGCATAGAATCATAWCCGTCATTATCGCACTTCTGGCCGGAAGACTCATAAGGTCGTATTAATTAATTTGACAATTAATGTACGCGGTTCAGTTTGTTTGCTGATCCTTAAATCCTATTTCCAGTCGAGAGAAACCAACACACAATGAATAAAAAAGCGTACAGGAAGATAGGACATATAGGCCTAASAAATTCAAACCGGTTATAACTGTGCTCCGGGGTCATTCATGTACTGTATAGCGGCTGTCAGAAACGCCTTCACATGCTTTCAGTTTTATCCCGTTGAGCTGCGCCACTGCTGTGCTTGCGATGGTGATAAGCGATTTTGATTTTTTATTTCTTATTTTATTTCTTATTTTTATTTTCTWACTTATTATTTTAAGTTTAGCTTGAAAGTGTCATCATGGCATKCGCATCGACCGACATCTGTCACAAATATGACTATGATCTAAAGGTCCACACATACTGATGTGCGCCTCAGCCACTACTGTACAATTTTAGTGCTTTACAAAAATGAGGAATGGGAAAACCACGAAAAATA